TACATGCATATGTGTAAACCTGGGCAGTGATGCAGTCGTTTGTATAGAGGGCATAGAGCAGGGTGCTTGGCACACAGCCCTGTGGAGCACCAGTACAAAGGATTGTGGATGTATGATGGTCCACTTGAACCCTTTGACATCAAGTTACAGACATAAAGTTCTTATCTGAGCTGCACCTCTCTTCAGCCACTCTGTGTACACCAAGTACTTATTCTGCAATGATATATCTGATTTTTATTATACGCCCATAGAAAGGTGGAAGTATCATTGAATAGTCTGTAAACTTTCTCTTGTCCTGCCCATAATTTCTGATCTTCTCAAGATTTCAGTTTAACAAAACTTCATAAACTTATCACCTCAGCTCCAAGGTCAAGGTCACAACTTAAGATCAAATGTTAAAGGTCTTTGCTTGTCTTTGTTATGGATTTCTGTATAACAGTTTTCCGGCGGGAGTATAATGTGTCGTTTGTTCACCATTTGAAGTGATCTAAACTTTTATTGCACTTAATCCTCCTGATCTAACAAGGTTGAGTCGGGTCCTTTGGACGAGTTCTTCTTGTTGAAACGTTTCATCTTTTATCAAAAAGACGTGAAGTCGTAACATTTAAACAAAGAAGAACCCGTCTAGAGGACCTGACTCCTCCACCTTGTTGGATTTATCTACCTGGATTATTGAACGTGCATCAGGACATAATCCTGATATTTTATCCCTGGGCTCTGCCGTTATGACCCGTTGATGAGAACTTGGTGCGTTGCCTCTTTGCAGTTGATGCAGACATCACAGTCGTGGGTTCTGGTCCAGGCGGATACGTTGCTGCCATCAAAGCTGCACAGCTTGGCTTTAAGGTGAGCCGTCTCCTTAAATCCTTAAGTAAATGAGTTGATTTAACACACTGTCACCTTTGAGTGAAACCTTTATTTTGAAGAAACTGGTCTAAAGTTTAAAATAAAATAAAAAAATTGTAGAAATAAGGTTTTCTGAAATAAAGTTGTTGACACTTAAAAGTGTTAATTTTCTTTTACAGACCGTTTGTGTTGAGAAAAATGCAACGCTGGGTGGGACTTGTTTAAATGTTGGCTGCATCCCCTCAAAGGTAATGAACTGGGCTTTGTTCCAATCAGGAATTGTCCTTCTTGTTCTTAGTATAAACTAATTCACTTGTTTAGACTATTATGATATGCGGAGTAAACTGGACTTGACTGAAACCCTAATTATTGCCCCTGAAATTCAGATATGTGAAATCAAGCAACATGTTGATGCATTGAGCTCCTCCGTCCAGCCGAGCCTCAGAAAAATATTGGTCCTGCGATGTATCGGTCAGGCTCTAATATCGCTACAAAACCATTAAGGTTTACCTACATTGCCTGTTCTTTTCTGGTCCAGAAAAACACTCCTGTCCAAAACTACAAAAAATGACTTCAAATCCTTCAGTGAGGGGGGTCATGTGATTAATTGAACTCTGAAGTTTCACAGGAAGAACCTCGTGTTGTACTGCTGTAAACATATAATAAATGTATTGGGTGTCAAAGCTGGTTGAAAACCTGCACATTTGAGTCTGGACTTCTATAATGGGTGAGGTCTCCTGTATATAAAATAAACACATTTTTTATTTCTGTCTTAAGTTTGTTGCTTTCTTCCCTGCAGGCGTTACTCAACAACTCCCACTTGTACCACTTGGCTCATGGCAAAGACTTTGAAAGCAGAGGCATCGAAAGTAAGTACTTAAAGTGTGCTTTAAGCAGAAGGTGAAAGTGAAACTTAAGTGAATGGCAATGACTTGAAAGTATTCTTCATGTGCCCACCGCTGGATACTTTGTACAATTACGGCTGGTTCCAGGATTTTAGGGGTGAAAATTAGAAGTGTTTATTTCTGCACATAATGGAACAATTCTCACCGATCTGTCCCCAAACGTCCATAACGGCCTTTTGTCATTTTACAGACAATGGCAAAAATAAAAACCTGCCTTAACAAATTGGCAGTTCTGGTAAAAGATATAAACATTAAGCTAGTTTTTTAAAGCTGATCTGTATTATCTGTGCGATCTGCACTTCAGCTTTTCGTGTCCTGCACCTTTCGGTTGTGTTCACTGAAGCACCTCCAACGATGCACCGTGGTGTTTTCATCTTAACGCTCTGAGAACGCTGGAGGAAACATTAATATTTCATATCTGAATATATTTGATATTCATTTGACTCTGTGGTGGTGACATCTGCACCTCTGGGGTGAACACCTCAGCAGGAAGGAAAGTGATGTTTCTTCCTCTCAGTTTCAGGAATCTCCTTGAACCTGGAGAAGATGATGGCTCAGAAGAGCGGGGCGGTCAAAGCTCTCACCGGTGGAATTGCACATCTATTCAAACAAAACAAAGTCGGTCTCTTCTTCGTGTCCAGATGTTTACTTTGCTCTGGAGGAAAAGTTGTGTTGTTGTTTTTTTTAAACTGTGATGTCCTATTTTTCAGGTAACTCACGTAAATGGTTTTGGGAGATTAACCGGTAAGAACCAAGTGACGGCCACTGCAGCTGACGGCACAGAGCAGGTCATCAACACCAAGAACATCGTCCTCGCCACAGGCTCCGAGGTCACGCCCTTCCCTGGCATCCAGGTACTGCTTCACTTCACTTCCTGTATTGTTTTCATGCAGTCCTCATGTTTGTCACCAGATGCCGAAAGGCAGAAGCAGAAATAATGTTTTTGCCTCCCTTTCTGTGTTGGGGTGTGTCTGTCTGTCAGCAAAATATCTGAACTACTGGATGGGTCTTGGTGACACTTTTAGAAACTAGTCGTTGAATGTACGTCTTCACCTAATAAACTTTTGGAGTCAACACAACTCAAGATGGTCGCCACAGATAATTTGTTGTAGCCACTACAGATATGCTATAACGCACTTGGTTTTTACAGCTATTGAGCTAAAATATGATGTGGTAGTAGCTGAGAGTCATTCACAACACGTACTCTGAGCGTGCTATTTTATAACATTATTTATAAGCTTTGACCAACACTGCTGCAACTTCGTTCTCAGTGTTGGATGATTGTAGTCTAAAATTCTGGCTCCTTTAAGGAATAGAAATAAGAAAATGACTTGACAAGGAACTGGGGGGGTCTAATAATAACTCCCGCTGCAGCAACTTGTTTTCTGTCTTTCTAGATCGATGAGGAGACCATCGTTTCATCCACAGGAGCTCTGAGTCTGACGAAAGTTCCTGAAGAGCTGATTGTGATCGGAGCTGGAGTCATTGGAGTCGAGCTGGTCAGCATCACTTTATTCACATAACCAAGATGTTTTGGTCCTCTTAGCTTCAGATTAGACAGATTACACTTGTTTAAAGGGATTTTCTTTGTAGGGATTTTCTTTACAATAGTTATTAGAAGGTATTACTTTATCAGCTGTGGCATTGGTGATAAGAGCATGGAGGAAGAGACAAATGCATTTGTCTTTGTTAATGGCTAGCCCAACAAGTGCTTCTGGTTCTTAAACACACTCATTTTCTAAAACAGCATACCTGTGTGAAAGGATGCCACATTCGCTCATTTTAAATCTTAACACTTTTGAATGTAGTTTGGCATTTTCTCAACCGGTACTACACAAATGTATTTGTGCTGAACAGAAATGGGCCGTGTTTATGTCTCTGGGTGCATCTTTCCACCGGATCAGCATGTCTACTCATCCAGTAGTTTACTCAACACCTGGCAGACTGATGCATGCAGCACCTTCGGCATACAACAGTCTATGCCAGGGGTGTCCAGTCCTGATCCTCTGGGGCAGGGGTGCCCAATACGTCGACCATGATCTATCGGTCCATCTCAAAGTTATTATGAGTAGGTGTCATGGCATTAAAAACAGACGTCAGCCGATCTTCCATCTATGAAGTTAGACTCTTGATCGACAGACGGGGCAGCCAGTCTGACACCTGGTTTACATGCCGTGAAACGTTCGGCCGTTCGTTTACAGACAACAGCCCCGTTCTCTCTGAAACTGAAGGTTTCTGAATCCAGGTCTCGGAGTGGAAATTTTCAGGAGAACCCCCCCAAGGAGGTGTAAAATGCTCCAAGTGTGAAGCAGCACATGCACACTGCAGGCGGCTGGAGTCCAAAGTTTTTCTGCTCTAACAACCGTTACAGTTGGTCTCCAGCTACAAGTACTTGGGTGTGCACCTGAACAACAACCTCAGCTGGAGCAACAAC